AGTTCCTTGTTTTGCTACCTAAAGAACAGACACTTGGGCCTCTGTGTGGTAGTACACGCTTGTAACCCCAACACCATGGGAGGTGAGGTTGGAGGAGTCTGGCTCCTGGCAAAAGTACGAGGCTCTATCTGAAAAATAACTAAAGCAAGGGCTCTCAAATGGGAGAGCACTTGCCTAGCAAATACAAGGCTCTGAGTTCAAATTCCAGTACCTCAACAACAATGAAACAGAAAGAAAGAAAGATGAAAGAAAGAAAGAAAGGAAGGAAGGAAGGAAACTTGGGAGGAGGGGCTGTTTTCTATCATGGCTTTAATATCTGGAGGAAGGAAAAGTAAGAACGAGGTTCAGTATTGTAGTGATGAGAAAAAGGGGTGATTTCTGAGATATCCCAAACCAGCAGGGAGGACAGGCCCAGTAATTCCAGCTGTCCAAAGCTGGAAGCACAGAGGAGGGGGACTGAGTTCCAGAGCTACTTGCTTTTCTAGGAGCTACTGTTCCTGTACTGGGTCTTGTCCATTGTTTCTGTAGCTAGTCAACCTCTACCCTCCCAATCGGTTAGGGGGACTTGGGAATTTGTCCTTCTTCAACTGCTCCCCAACCTTAACGCTCTGCTGCCAGCACTTGTTCACCCCCCAGGATCCTGGTTTTAAACTGGCCCTGATTTCCGCATCCTCCCCATCCTTGCTTCCCAGCTCAGGGTTGCAGTGGGGTAGGGCCGAGGCACTCCCGACTTCCTGGCTCCGTCTCTCATTTCCCGCGTGGAGCTGGACTGCACTAATTGACCTCGAGGGTCTCAGCTGTGCTAAGTTGGGTGTTTGTTAGATCTCGTTAGGCTGTAATTAGTGCGGGCAATCTAGGTCAGAGGCACTGCCGGAGTGATGGTCTCCCGGGGCATGGAGAAAGGTGGAATAGCAAACAGGTTCCTCGATCTGTTGGTGGGGTGAGCCTAGGACAGGGGACAGCGGGACTTGTGTGCTACCCACAGATAGACATACACAGGGTCACGTGTAGAAAGGCGCGCGCGCGCGTGTGTGTGTGTGCGCGCGCTCGCTCCCGCTTTTACTCGGGTTTCCTTCCAACCTCTCCATATATGGTGTGGCTCTAGAGCGGGCTGGGGATTGGCTGCTGTTGTTGGGAGCCGGGAGGTGGGGGGAGCAAAAAAAGAAATGAACCGAGCTTGTGGGGAGGGGGAAAGGGGGGAGCGGGGCGGGGGAGGAGGGTAGCTCTGCAGAATGGGGCAGGGGCTGCTTGCCTGAGGGCTTTAGTAGGGAGACATTCTTTGGGATTGGTTTCTGGGGGGAAGGAGGTAAATTTTCTGTTGGCAGATGGGTTGGGGGAGTGGGTGGGGAAGGGGGCAAGAGCTGTGTCCCTACGGTCCCAGCTCCCGGCTTAGAGTGGCATAGCTTGTGAAGGCTGGAGCAGGAGTTAGAGAAACTTTGGCCTTTTTTCTTTGCCCTTTTTTTTCTTTCCCCCTTTCTTTTCACTCTAGACAACCTACAGCTATGCTGTGGAAATCGCGTGCAAATGAACTCATCAGCTTTCCAGGCCAACGCCTCCGACTTCTTCCTAATGGAGGAAGCTCAGGACTGGACTTTGCAGCCTCCCCACCGCCTGAACAAGTTAACAGAGAGGAGCAGGGAAAGCTGAGGAGGCCATGGCAATATGGATTCAGCGGTTGGGGCTTTACCTGTCTCTACCCCTCACCCCATTTCAACTCTGTCCTGGATTTCCCTCCTCCCCACCCAGGGCCTCCAAAAGGAGTTTCCCTTTTCCACTTCTCTTGGGTAAGAAGAAAAGATAGCAAAGTTGTTGGGGGCGAGGGAGGAAGGGAGGAAGGAAGGAACCATCCCGAAAAATGTCCACCGGCGGCTGTGCAGTGAGAAAGTTGCCCCACTTGGCTACAGAACTCTTCCCTCTACTCAATCCAGTCCACTCGATCCACTCCACTCAATCCACTCTACTCAATCCAGTCCACTCAATCCACTCCACTCAATCCACTCCACTCAATCCACTCTACTCAACCCACTCTACTCAATCCACTCCACTCGATCCACTCCACTCAATCCACTCTACTCGACCCACTCTACTCAATCCACTCCACTCGATCCACTCCACTCAACCCACTCCACTCGACCCACTCCACTCAATCCACTCCACTCAATGCACTCCACTCAATCCACTCCACTCGACCCACTCCACTCGACCCACTCCACTCGACCCACTCCACTCGATCCACTCCACTCGACCCACTCCACTCGACCCACTCCACTCGATCCACTCCACTCGACCCACTCCACTCGACCCACTCCACTCGACCCACTCCACTCGATCCACTGTACTCGATCCACGCCACTCGATCCACTCCACTCGATCCACTCCACTCGATCCACTCCACTCAATCCACTGTACTCAATCCACTCCACTCAGTCCACCCATTTTCCAGCAACAGTGGCTGGGAGGAAGTAAGGGACCATCACAGGGAAGAGCACTGGAATAATGGTGGGAGGAAAGAGGTGCTGGAGGAAGGGAGTCTGCAGTGACACATTGCCCTCCTGTGATGGCGCCTAGACTCGACCACAGTGTGGTACTCCACCACAAGGGTACACTCTAAGCTACTTTTCTAGCGGGAAGTCTGGCTTTGTGTTAGCTCTAAATTCTTGAAGACCAGGAATCCTCCTCCTCCTCCTTCTTTTCTCTCTCTCCCTTCCTCCTCTCTCCTCCCCCTCTCTCTCCAGCTCTTGTCTTTAGTAGGGTACCTGGCACACTCTCCTGTGAAGAGAGGTATGGGCACAGCCTGTGGCTTGATTAAAGTGTGTGAACTAGAACAGAGTGACAGTGATTAGCCCTGTGCCCTAACCCTCATTCAGTCTGTACGCAGGCCACCTGAGCTTGATGTTCTTTGCTCACTGAGCCACACTACTGATTGCAAGCTCAGCAGCCGTTTACTGACAGACATTTTCCATATGTTGTCTTTACCCAGTCAACAACTGTAGTTTGCAGATGAGAATGGCACTCAAAGTGTTTTGATCAAGGCCTCATAACCAAAAAGAGGCAGAGGCAGAACTTGAATCCAGACCTATCTGGAGCAGTTGCTGGAGAAGCAGAAGCTGTTTTTGTTCGTGTCTGAAGAGCCCAGCTCTTCTCTATCTCCCAAGGTCCCAGATCTTTCCTTTCTGCTTTCTCTCACCTGTCATTCTCTCCTGTGTCTCCCTCCATTTTTTGGCTCCCTTGAGTACCACAGATGACTGGCATGTTGGGACACATATGTCATTCTTGCTTTTGTCTTTTTCTTCATCATGTGGGAGGGACAAGGAATAAAGAGAGAGGAAAGGGAAAATGCTGGTAAAATAAAATTCATTCAAAGATGGAGAGTTATAAAAAGAAAGTATAATTTTAACTCAGACTTTCAGTATTTGTGGCAGGGAGTGGCTGTGATGACCAGGCTTAGAGTTTTGGAGAGTGAAGCTTATTTGGAAGACAGGAGGCCTGGTTCCCTCACCTCATTCCCCAGGAGCACCTGGGAATGACAGTAAGGTGGCATTCTCCTCCGTGTTCCCTGACTCAAGTAGATAACAAGGGACAGAGCTAGGGAAAACCTTCATGACAGTTAGACAGTGGGTGCAAGAGTCGCTCCTCCCTGGGAAGGTTTAGCATGGAGAGAGTCCCCCTTTTGTACGTGGTTGTAGAAGTAATGGGAATTACTTTATTACGAGAAGAACGGGAATTAAAGGCTGTTTCTCTCAAAGGATGTTCCTCTCTCCTCCCTGGCCCATCTTCCTAACATTAGGACAGCCTCATGGCTAGGACCCATATGCAGTTTGTCCCTATTTCTTCCCCCTCTCTGTCCCCCATCCTAGTGAAGCTCTAGGACTTGGCTCTTGGGCGGTGAGAGATCTAGGAAACAGGATCACAAGCTTTCACAAGGGGTACAACATGTAACTTCTCATTTACTTCTTCCCCCAAATCATTCATATTCTTGCCTTCTAAACTTTTCTCTGGACCTTATCAGTGAGACTAAACCTGATGTTAGAAAAGCAGCACAAAAGGAGTTGCAGACACAAGCCTGCGAGCAAGCCCAGCAGCTCTGCTGTACTCAGGCAGGGCGGTGGTGTGAGCATAGAGATCTTTTTCTAAAGCTCAGCTGATCAGTCTTGGGAGGTTTGAGGAAGGAGGGAAAGAGGCTACAGGAAACCCTCCCTTGGCTGAAAGAGGAACCAGGTTTGGTTTTCCCCTTCTTCCTACATAGTCTGCATCAAAAGTCAGTTTCATTCTTAGTTCAGTTCTTCCATGGGGTCAGCTGTCCTCAGTTCCTGTGCTAGCCTCCCTGCTGCCACAGGCAAATGACCAAGGCAGTCTCATCCATCCATGTTTGTGCCTTTGAATCCATGCTGGGAAGGGCACAGGGGATGAAGGGAGGAAGCACCTAAATAAAATCCAGACAGCTGTTTTTGTCTGCCCCACCCCACTCAGGCCTTGAGATTGAACCCATGGCCTTATGCATGCGAGGCAAGTGCTCTACCACTGAGCTCTAGCCCCAGCCTACAGCAGCTTGATCTCAGTCAGATAGAGATGGGTGAGAAGCCAGTGTTAGGGTGGAGAGATCGTAATTCCACATGTCCTCACAGATGGAGTAAATTTCACTTCTCCTGTGGCATGGACAAGAGGCACTGTCCTTTACATTCCTAGTACAGTTGTACAGCTGAAATTTCACCCTTAGATTGAAAACCTCCTCTTTCCCAACTCCCTCTAAACCAGACGCCTGTGCCCATATTTATTGGATCCCCACTAGGTCTGGGAGGCCGGTGGTGTGTGTAAAATGAGCAGATGGTGTCGTTAGTACCCTTTCTTTCTTTGACCAGGTGGAAGCACCTTACTACTGCTACAGGGATCACCTCCATCTCAAATCTGAGAGGGGGCTTAAGTAAGGAAAACATGTAAGAAAAGAAGGGCTGCAGGAGATCAGGCATCAGCAAGAGCAATGAGTTTGATTGTGGGTTGTTTTTTTTTTTTTTGATTGAGGTAAATAAAAAAGCTTTATCCTGCAACACTTGGAGATAAGTCTGTCCAACCCCCACGAGTTCCAGACCCTGCCCCCCTCCTTCACATTAGGCTCTTCTGGTACTGATTGTGCTGGGTGGTCTGTCGGAGGTGGGAGTCAGGGGTCTGCAGGTCCATCTGTCTGTACAGGTCCCTCAACTCCCTGACTTCCTGCAGCACCCTCTTTGCCTGGCTCCAGTTTGATGACGCCTCTCCCAGCAGCCGCTCTGTTTCCAGTAGCAGCTGCTCTGATTCAGAATCGGGCGGAGACTGGGGGGGGTCCTTGGCCTTTCGCTTGCCATCTCCCAGTCCCTGAACCTCTGCCAGCAGCTCCTGAGTTTTCTCCAGTTTCCTTGCTACCAGGTCCTGGATCCGGGATAGCTGCCCCGGGTGGGGTGGGCTGGGGGCTGCGGATTCCTCAGCCTGAAGGCGGAGGGTGCGGGCTGGGCCAGTGTCCCTCTGAGACAGGATCTCCTCCAGGGAGGCGCAGCGGCTTTTCTCTGTGGGGGTCAACTTCTTGGGTGCCTGGGGAGTGTAGGTGGCCCCCTTGTCTGGCTTTTCCCAAGGTCGAGGAAGACTGCTTGCCCGGTCTGAGGAGGACTGGATCCGGTCCGAGTCTGCTCTTCGCCGACTGCTGGCCAGCTGGGCGACGGACTTGTCCAGGTCCACCCGAAAGCTCTCAGCACAAGATGTTGGCTCCTCAGGAGAAGGGTCTTCCTCTTGGATCAGGTCCAAGGTCAGCATCCCATCTGAGGTAGAGGTTGAAGCCTGGGGGCGAGGAGGAAGAAAACAAGGGGTAAATTGTCATTAGTAGGGATTTCAGGAATGATGGCCTGAAAGATGGTCGCAAGTTGTGGCCATTTTCCTCAACTGGCTTCCCCGAATAAGATTTCCCCACTTCTGACTGAGCTGTTCTGCTTTATTTGCTATTTCTTATTCCTTTGATGGTGAGTTGAACTTTCTCTTGTTTTTCTTGATTTAAAGTAATTTTTCCTGCTTGTTTCCCACATTCTCCATTTTGCTACAAGCTTTCTGAGGACTGTCTACTGTCTCTGTATTGTGGACTTGCGTAAGCATCGGCTTGGGCTTGACACAAGTGGGTGCTGCACACACCACAGTAGTTGTTCTTCTATCTGCACCCTCTCTGCCGCACACCTCAGCCTTCTCTGCTATTTGAACTCTGAACCTCCTGCCTTATAATAAACCTTATCTCTTACCTCCAGAATACTGTAACTTAAAGAAAGTTGTAAGGGTATTTGATACTTCCTATGTAGTTGTACGTATCTGTGTTAATGGTTCTTCAGAGCAACCCTTCAAGGCAGGCAGAATTATTGCATGCAGCTGCAAGGAACCCACAGTGGACTGCAAGGCCAGGTTCAAATTAAGATTCTGCCAACTCCAAGGCCTCTGTCTCTCTCTGTTTCTCTGTCTCTTTCTCTCGCTCTCTCTGTCTCTCTCTCACGCGCGAGTGCATGCTCACTCGACTTAAGAGTTTAGATGAGTGAAAGAAACCATTACTTCATATGATACAGGGGCTCGCTGTGATCCTCCTCCGAATGCACGTGTACTTAACGCTGTTACCCATCAGCTAGCTACTGCCACCTAGTAGCTTGAACTATCTTGTACAGCGTCCATCTCTTCTATTTTTCCCCCAAAAGACAATTATTCAGAGCAGAGATGTTTGAACTCAAGACAGGTGCTGAATAAATATTTTTGATTTAGTGGAATCAGGCAGGGATGTGGGATGGAGAGACCTCCTCAGCCTTTGATCTTGGTATCAGGAGGCCTCCCACAGATGCCTCTGGTGGTATACAGTTCTAAGAGTCACTGACACAGAATTGGCCCTTTGGCAATGTTTACTTTCTTGCAGTCTTACATACCACAGCCATGAGGTGTCCCCGAGTTGGGGGGCGGCGCGAGTGTTGGATTTTTGCCCTGTCTCGAGTGGGGTGGGCGAGATAGCTGTCCTCCTCAACGGTGACCTAAAGAGATGCACTGTGAATCACGGGTGCTCTTTAGGACTCTCTGTCTCATCTAAGCATCCCCAAGGCCTGAATATGTCTGGACTGGGAAATAAGCCCACCCCATTAACTGTTTCTGAGCAAATCTGGAGGCAAAGGGGTTTACTGGATATGAAGGGGCTCCTTAAGTTGACTCAGGCTGGCTCATGCATTCTGAAGTGGGGGAAGAGGAACTGGTAGGTAAGACTCAACAGAGAAGTTGGAAGAAGAACAGGGCTTTCATAAGGGAAAGAAACAGAGCTGGTGGGGGAACAATTAAATGGGGCCCCAAACAATAATCCTCCCGCTTTAGTGAGTCACAGATGCTCCCTCTGCCCCAGCATCCTTCTCTTCACAGTGAGCCCCCTGACCTCATCCAAGATGCGGTTCTTAGCTCTGGTGATGGCAGAGTTGAGGGCATTGATCCATGACTCCTTCTCTTCAGGACTCACTGCCAGGAAGATCAGGTTGGGTGCCTGTGAGGGAACATTCTTGTTTCACCCAGGGTTTTAGAGTTGGTGCCTCACCTTGACAGTGAAGAAATAAGAAATTATAATCTCATTCCCTCAGACCCAGCTCCTGGAAGGGGAGAGAATCTATTTCCAGAGCCATCTGTAACTCAAGGAAACCCAGCTTTCTGTAAAATACCATAGTTTGGAGGTTGTTTTAGAAATGACCAAGGAAGAGCTGGATATTAACGTGGCACTGAAGATACAGGTTTGATAAAAGACACGTATTAAAGATCTTTAAATGTCTGAAGAACTAGAATATGAGAGGGTGGCTTCTCTGGGTTCCTTTAACCACCTACTAGGGCACAAGGACCAGTTATTAAGAGATGTGTGTGTGTGTGTGTGTGTGTGTGTGTGTGAGAGAGAGAGAGACAGAGGGAGAGAGAGATGGAGGGAAGGAGAGAGGGAGAGAGAGAGAGAGAGAAGGGGGAGGAGGGAGTGAGGAAGGTGGAGGGGGTGTGAGAGAGAGACAGAGGGAGAGAGAGATGGAGGGAAGGAGAGAGGGAGAGAGAGAGAAGGGAGGAGGGAGTGAGGAAGGTGGAGGGGGTGTGAGAGAGAGACAGAGGGAGAGAGATGGAGGGAAGGAGAGGGAGAGAGAGAGGGAGAGGGAGAGAGAGAAGGGGGGAGGAGGGAGTGAGGAAGGTGGAGGGGGTGTGAGAGAGACAGAGGGAGAGAGAGATGGAGGGAAGGAGAGAGAGAGAGGGAGAGAGAGAAGGGGGGAGGAGGGAGTGAGGAAGGTGGAGGGGGTGTGAGAGAGAGAGACAGAGGGAGAGAGAGATGGAGGGAAGGAGAGAGGGAGAGAGGGACAGAGAGAGAAGGGGGGAGGAGGGAGTGAGGAAGGTGGAGGGGCAGTAGAGAAAGGAAGGACAGATATGATCTTTGTGGCCAAACAGGTTAAAGCTGGCCTGCCTGGAGGGAAGGAAATGGCTACGATATACTTTGGTTAAACAATAAAAATCAGCAGGAAAGCAATTCAGTGCCTCTGAGCCAGGGCTGCTGAGAGGGGGAGAACCTGAAGGGGACGAAGTTGTCAATTGCTCCCTCAATCCTACCAGTGCTCTAGAGGCCAAGGTGGGAGGAGAAACCTACCGTGTTACCAGGCTGTTTAGAGTGGGCAAGAGTAAACTTGCTGTGATTTTTCTTGCTCCTGCTCTTGGCTTTCCGGAGTTCTTCACACTTCTCATAGTCACTCAGGTCAAACACCTCTTGAATATTTTTCTCATCTTTTACCTGGGGGAGGTATGGGGGTGCGGTGAGGATGATATAATTACTTAGCTCCCCCTCCAACCACACTGTTATTTTAGATCAGTCTTGAGAGCCAGAAGAAGCCTGAGGAGAGGAAGGATGGAAGGGCAGGAGAGGGCCATCCCACCAAAGGTGTTTAAAGTCCAGTCCTCATGTGGGAATTCTGTTTATATCCCAAGGCCCCCTCTCAGCCCACCTACCATTTCCAAAGACTCTCCCTTCACCCATGACCCTCACTCTGTTCCTGAAGGACACAGCTTGCAAGTCCTAAGAGGCTCATGCCCTTAAAGGGACATGGTGAACAGGCTGATCCAATCATCCCCAAGTAAGGAAGACCTGGGTGGTCCTTGATGGTCAGGTGGAAGGACGTAAAGGCAGCACCAGTATCAGAGACATCTGGGAGGAATAAAAGGCTGATTTTGACTTCACAGGTCTTATGTTTACATGATAGGTTTTTTTTGTCCCCACCCTGCTCCTTCCTCTAACGTACACTACTATAAATAGACTCATCCCAAGGGAACAATTTATTCTCCTTCTTCTACTTTGTTGGGAACACCCCATGAATGAATTGGTCATGTTTTCTAGGATAAACAGTCAAAACCAGGCCGGGCCTAGTGGTTCACATCTATAATCCTAGCCTTTTGGAAGGCAGACATCTGGAGGATTGAAGTTTGACGCCAGCCCAGGCAAAAAGAGCCCATTTCAACCAATAAGCTAGGTGTGGTGGTTTGTGCCTGTCACCCCAGATATGCGGGAGGCATAGATAGAATTACAGTCTAGGCCAGCTCAGGCAAAGATGCAAGACCCTATCCAAAAAAATAACTAAAAACAAAAAGGGTTAGGGGCATGACTCAAGTGGTAGAGTGCCTGCCTAGCAAGTGTGACGCCAAGTTTAAACCCCACTACCACACACACACATACCCAAAAGTCAAAACCACCAGCATCTGTTAAAACTAAGCAAATGTGTAAAAGTAGACCCATGTCTTCATTGGAAAACATCTACCCTCTTCAGCTGGGATTATCTCCAAAAGAGCTCCCACTTCCAAACTCTGGCACAGGAACTGTGTCCGTGGTGGTGACCTCAGTTGTCCTCCTGGGTCTTGTCAACTTTGAAGTGGGGAAGTGTTTTCTGTTCCCTAGGTTACATAGTCTTATATCTGTCCACCTTTCTGATTTGCTGATAGACCCAAAGGACTGATGACAAGAGGAAAGATGGTCACAGAGCCCCCTTCAGGTGAGTTCTGGTTCATCTGTCTGTCTCTGTCTCCATCCATCCCTGTTTATTTTGGGAAGGCTTGGCTTTACCAGGGCTCTCCCTCTCAGGGCTCCCTGGCTTTGGGCTGGGAAGTGAGCAGAGTCCTTGCAGGATATGGGTAAAGGTGTGGCAAGGTGCTGCAAGGGGCATCCAAGAACAATTCCCAGCAACACAGGGCCGGGATGCAGGATGATGTATCACCTTCCTCTCCCCTCCTTCCTCAGAGTGAGAAACCCTGGAGAGGAAAGTGCGTGTGTGCGTGTGTGCGTGCAGCTAGGGAAGAGAGTCTCTTGTTCTGTTTTCCTTAGGGACAGGGAAGGGAAAGGAAGGGAGATACTCTGGCTTGGACACAGCTGATAAGGAACTCTGAGAGGAGACATGGACAGAGTTAGCCTTTGCTTGGGCAGGGATAGGAAACAAGGTAAAGACGGGAACGAGACAAGTATATTCCAGTACCCAGAAAAGATGGGATACCCCCAGGAGGCCGTATCTAATTCCCAAAGCCTCATTTATAAACTCAGCTTCCAAATTAACCCTTCCTTTCCCCTGATTCTCTACCTGTGGGCCACAGAAAGGGTTTCTGCACACTTTCAAAGAGTTGCCCTGAGCCTAACTTCCTCTACTATGAGGTCTCCGTAAGGTCTCGCTTCTGTTCCTGCACCTTTGCCCGCGATCAGAAGGTACCCCAGCTCCTGTGAGAAAGGGTACCCCTTTGAGAATGAGGAAAATGATTCACATCAAACACAGAAGGAATTCTATAGGGGAGGTAGTTGTGGGAGAACTTGCCTTTCTAAAGGGAACTAAAAAAAGAAAAATTGTGAAAATTATGGACAGGGAGTTAGGGATTTTTTTGCATTAACATGTAAGTTACAAACATCATAATATGCTTTAAAATTTTTTTCAATCTGTTGGTTCTGGAACTTTTGGGAAGTGGACAGAATAAAGTCTAGAGTCTGATGGCCCAGTATAGCATGGAAACTGGCTCAGAATAGCCTCAAAATGCTGTACCCTCTTTTCCAATGCCCTTCCCAGTAGGGCTAATCAGCTGCTCCTGACTCAGAACACCAGACATTCTAGGCTGAGGTCACTCCATCCTTTCTCTGGCTCTGACTCGGCTTCCTTCCTTCACACACAAGGCTCACCCATGCTTTTTCACCCCCAGATTCTGCCCTTTGGACAAAAGCAAACAAGAAAAAAGAACTGACTTGATTCTTCTACTCTTTAGCTGTTCTCTAGCTTCCCCTCTGACATGAAGCACATTCTCCCAGAGCACTCAGTGCAGTTTCCTGCCATTATGAAGTTCTGGGAAGACCCGACATACACTTTGACACTTGCTTTGTCTTTTTTTTTTTTAACTGCAAAGCCAGAAAATTGTGGAGAAAACTTTCGGTAGGATTTGTGACTGTGTAGAAGTGACCCTTAAAAACAAATGCTCCTGTCAAAGTCTTCCCTCACCTCACTCCCAAGAGCCCATCAGCAAGTTCCGAGCTCTGCATGAGCAGCTAGGTCAGATACCATCAGGAGGGACCTCTTTCTCCTTCCCTGGATGCATTACTGACAGCTGTTTTCAGATGGGTACTTTCTCTTGGGTTTCGAGTGTGTCTGTTTCAATACCATAAAAGGATTTATTTACCTAAATATACTCTACTGAGTAAGAGTGTCTATTGCCAAAAGCAGAAGGGGTTAGAACTCAGGCAGGACTTCCAGTCAGTCCTGGGTGAGGGAACCCACAATCAGGAGAGGAAGGGCCATGGTAAGCTGAACACAGCAGTCTTCCAGGCTCTGCTGGGGACAGAGGAACAATTCCAATTCCTTAGTAGTACTAAGCGTTATTAATCCCAAGGGTTAGGGACAAACGAGAGAGAGTGTGTGTTCGATGATCTGGGCTCAGATTCTGACCCAGCGCTGACTGTGGCTTTCACATCAAAGTTATGCAGAGACAACACAGAGGGCCATACCTCTTCTCTGATGCAAACAGGGGTGGGAGGCAGAGAGCATACTGGTTAAGGACACTGACTCCTACAAAAATAACTGGCACTCAGATGTCCTACTGGGGGTCACAGAGAATGACCCTCGGTTGTGTGTTTTCTATGATTCAGGGTGGCTGTGCTACTTGATAGGACCTCTGTGTGCCCCTGCTACAGACAGGAAAGGGCAGGCCAGCTGGGTTGGGGTGAGGAGACAGGAAAGGGTAAGGAACAAGCTGACCAGCGTGCTTCAGCAGCAATAGCAAAAGAAAAGAAAAGAAAAAAAGCCCAGTATTTCAGGAGGCCAGGATAGTGCAGGAGGCAGCAGGGGATGCTTACAACTTCTGGGATATGTTGGGAGAGGACTATCATTGTTGCCATAAAGGTATTTGCAAAGAAAAAAGCATTAAATAAGAAGTGAATTCAACTTCGAATTCTTAGAGATTCTCGCTAAAGGGTGACCTTTCCCTCCAGAAAGACGGGGTAGAGACTAAGGTGACGACTGAACTTGCTCCAGGAACAGGATGGGAGGTAGAGTAAGGGGGAGACTAAAGGCAGCCCAGCCCCTGTAGAGACAGAAAGTGAGGGACAGGAGAAAACAGGGATAGTTGAGGCGGAGGACCCCTACCTCCTTCTCGGAGATGTAGAGTTGGTCCCCTTTCAGCACCACGTAGCGGTTTTTCCAAATCTCCCTGAAAATCCCTTTCCCGCAGAATTTGCGGACCCAGCCGACCTTCTCGGGCGCTGCAGATTGATGGTTTCCATCCTGAGGCCCCTGCCAGGGAGGCAAGAGAAGCAGCCGCGGCTCAGGGGGTGACGGCTCGGGCCGCGTCTTCCGAGACCCTCAGCTCCCCTGTCGCCCTGCAAGGCTGGAGTCGGGGACCCCGAGGTCCGGTCCCCACTTGGGATCGGGTTTTCACTCGGGAGAACTCTCTGCCCCGCCGCTCCCCTCCCCCGCTCCCGAATAAACAAGGGAAGCGAGCGGGGCAGGGGCCGAGCCGAGGTGGCTCCGCAGCCCGGCCCAGCCCGGCCCCCTCCCCCAGGTCTGTCCTCGCCGCGCGGGGACTAACGGCATTTTATTTTATTTCTCATTGTCTCCTCGCCACCGCACAGCGCGATGCAAACGGCTGCCCGTCGCCCCGGGAAGAGGAGGAGGAGGAGGAGGGAGGGTGCGGGTCGGGCAGAAACTAAGCCAAGTTCAAGCCCCCCGGCGCGAGTAAACAAACAAAAGCCCCCCCCACCCCGGTGCCTGGGCGCGGGGCCAGGCGCACTGGAGGGCCGCGGGCCGAGGTCGCGGGGACCCGGAGGCCGGGGCCGGGGGCGCGGCCGGGCCGGGGACTCGCGCAGGCCGCCCCGCCGCTCGCAGCCCCGACGGACGGGGGCCGGGGTCGTCGGAGCACGAAGTCAGCTGCGGACGCGGGCTCGGCGGGCGCACTCACCCTCTTAGTGGAATTGTTCTTCTTCATCATTCCCGGCGGGCGCGGGCGCGGGCGCGGGGCGCGGGGCCGACGGGCCGCCCCGCGTGGGGGCCGAGGCCGCTCCGCCGAGGGGGCGCCTTCCCGGCGGGAGGGTGGCGGAGATGCCGGGCGCCGCCGCGCTCCTCCCTCGCTCCCGCCCGCCCTCCCTCGCGCGCCCGGACTCTCCCCCTCTTTGTAGCTCCGGTTACACTAAAGGCCGGCCTCCCTCACACTCGCTCTCGCACACACACGCACGCCCGCTCCCCGCCCCTCGGCGCCCCTCCATGCCGGCGCCCACGCGGTCCGGGTCCCCGAGCGCGCCCCCGCCGCCCACCCGCCCGGCCCGGCGCGGCCGCTCCCCCGTCCCGGCGCGCTGTGGGCGGCCCAGCCCGCGCCCCGCAGCTCCATCCGCGGGCCCGCTGACGTTGCGAGTTCAGAATAAAGGGCGAATCGCGGAGCCGCAGCCGGTGCGCTCCCCCCGCCCCCCCCGCCTTTGTTTCTGACTCACCGAGGGGGGAGCAAGACAGACCCGAACCCAACCGAGACCCACACTCCGACCCACGGCCCAGCCCCGGGTGCAGCCCACGAGCGCAGACCCGCCCGACCTGCCCAGACGCCCAGCCCCGCGCGCCCGGTGGGGAGCGGCGACACGCCGGGTTGGGGACAGCCGGGAGAACCGAGATCGACATCAGCTCCCTCCTCGACCCAAACAAAAACGGGGGCACGAGCCAGGAGGGCGCGCCTCTGAGAACCAGCCCCGGGAATCCACGCTCCTTGGGTGGTAGAGCGTGGTCTGGGTAGGTCAGATGTTGGGGAAAAAAGTTTTACGCTTCTGAGAGGATACGGTGTTGGGAACCGAGCGGGAGAGAAGTTACTGTTAGTACACACCGCTTCCAGTTTACAAACCGCAGGCCTTATTCGAGCCCCCTGGAGAATAACTCCAAATATGAGGTGGATCTCTATCTCCATTGCACAGGGAGACAAGAGGATTTGGAGACGCCTCAGTGTGCTGGCCCGAGGAGAACTCTTGTCGCCAAAGCCATGATCCATTATGCCAAGGGCTTCAAATAGAAGCTCCAGGTCCTGCAAGCTTCAAGTTCCTGGGCATCTCTCTGTCACCCTGCCGTGTAAACATCCCATCGTGTCCACATGCTGGAGTCCAGTGGAGGGAAGGGCCCAATGCCCAGAGGATGCCCTGGCTGGGGACTTCTGCTGACCCCTCCTCCCCAGGTCTGCCTCAGAGCCTAAGGACACACCTTAGTAATTCATGTATTTCAATGTCAGGAAACCCAAGTCTGAGTACTGGTTTCATCACCACTGTGTGGCCTTCAGGCGTCATCCAACTTCTTTAAGCGTCCATTCCTCAACATATTAAATGGTGAGGGACGAAACTGCCATTTCTACCACCAAGGAAAGTTAGGCGAATATATGAGATGACCTGTGAAGGACCTTTGAAGACAAAAGAATTGTTCTCTGGAGCTAATTATAAGCTAATAAACACATTGCTGACATATGGTAGGCACAGAATAACTACGAAATGAGTAAAAATTCTTGGCACAGGAGGGAGATACCTCAAGATAAAAGAAACTGTGGGCCAAGTTTATGGTTTGAGGGGCGGAGGTAAAGATTGGCACCGTCTATCCTCAGACCTTCTTTCCTCTAATCTGGTATTCTCTCAATCTCTTTCCATTAACCATACTAATTAATTTCTCTATTTTAGACCAGTACAGAACTTTATCCTTTCAAAATACTCATTAAAAAAAATCTTTAGTGCCACCTTGTGAGGCATTTAGAATGAGTATTAATATTCTCACTTGGGAAATGAGGACCGGGCCTGGTGAATCAACTGACTTGCCCAACTTTACATGAGTTTCTGGCTAAATGGATTAGAATCCAGGCTATCTGACGCCAGCCAACTGTTTAGACTTTGAGTGCACACATGCACGCACACACAATCACACACACACACACACACACACAGAGTGCACATTTCCCAAACCATCCCCTCACCTTCCAGCTATCTCTGGTATCCTGTTCAAAAGGCAATGCCTTGGGTTCAATCCCCCGTATCGCAAATAAAATAAAAGGTTATGAAAACAGGATGAGATATCCTTATACATGAGGAGTAAAATGTAGCCAAATGTGAGGACATTGGTGAGGAAGTGTGTCTGCATGATTTGAGGGCTTGCTGGCCAGGCACAGAGGAATGGTTTGGAGTTACAGTTTAAATAAGGGTGAGGGTGTAATTCAGTGGTAGCACACTTGCCTAGTATGTAGGAAACTGCAAAAAAAGTATAGATTCTGGCTTATAGGAAAGAAGGACTTCATGGCTTGCTCCATCTTCCTCCTTTACCGGTAGTGTTCATTAGTCAACAAATACTTGAGGCCCTCCTATGTGTAAGGCAACTGGTTCCTTGTGCACTGCCTCAGACAGGAACTGCTTTGTAAAACATCAGGCAGAGGGAGCCATAAAAAATAACCCTCCGAAGTAATTTCAGATTCTAGAGCAGATGCATGTGGGCTGCAGAACTCTGCTTACTGCTCCTGAGGATGTTACATAAATCTCTGGGTCTGCCTCTCCCTCCAGTTAACCTGCACTGTTGCACTGCTTCATCCTCCCTTCAACCCCCCCCACCCCTGCGCGCCTTATCTTTCCCCACCTTGTCTTGCCACTCACCCCTCTTCCCACTGACATACTCTTCCCCTGGCTTGTTCTTAATGCTGGTTTCTCTCTCATTAGGTGAATTTCATGCCCCTGAATTTGGGTATATATGGGACTGGTGTCCACAGACCAATGCTTAAGTGAGAAATTGGATTCCTTGACACTTTTTTTTAAGTAGCATTGTCTCTTCAGTGAGCTTGTCACTACCACATAAACCACAAAAGTTACTCTCAAGTCAATTCTTTCTTTGAGGAGATAAGATACTGGGGAGGAATCATATATATACACATGTATGTATATAAATGTACATAAACATATATACACATAAATATATATGTGTGTGTATATATACTTTTTTTTGCAGTACTGAGGTTTGAACTCAGGACCTTGTGCTTGCTAGGCAGGTACTCTGCCACTTGAGCCATGCCTCCAGTCTGCAATTGAATGTAACTCCAGGAAAAAAGGAAGCTACCAATAAGCACAGACTTGTGAATTGCTGACTGCAAGTTTACTGGGTAGAAACTGTTCTCCAAACAGATGTTTAAAAACAAATATCCTTGGCTTTTGTAAATGGGATTGAGGTTTTGACCAGGGCATTTCATTCTATGGGGGAGAGGGTTATTAAAAGCACACAGATCTTAATTAAAAAATTTTTTTATACAATGTTTGGAACATTTCTCCCCCCTTCCCCCACCCCCTTCCTTCCCCCCCTACTCCCTCCCTCTCCCCCCTAATTAAAATGTTTTTAAAGGGAACAGTAAAGGGCCAGGAACAACAGAATGTGCTCTGTAAATATTAGGTACCCTCTCAGCTCCCATCCACACTCCTATGAGGAAGGCACTATTAGTCCCATTTTATGGATGAGGAAACTCAGCCACAAAGGGACTAAATAATATTCCAAATGCCACATAAACGACATAAATTTGATTATAGACTATCCAAAGCTAGACAATATCAACATATAAAAAGTTAGAAAAACTCACAAATATTTAATGCCCTGCAGGGAACCAGGAAGGGATTGTGCTGTGCTATTTTTGCTATGATTATTTGAGGGTGCCTTAATTTCCTGGCATTACTGATACCATCATTTTTACTGTTTTCAAGAGAGGCAAAATTGAGACCAGAATTTATTATTTGCCTTGGTATACTTTGAATATACTCCCAGTCGAGGCGATGCCTTCGTTATGTATGGTGTAAAGCCATCTCAAACCTCACCTCATGAATTCCCATAACTGAACTCCAACAAAATAAAACCAAATCACTCAGATCTTTCCACAAAATGAACTTTTAGTGTAGTCATACAGGGTTTCTCAGTGCCACAGAAAATTGCAATGTAGGGAAAAACAGTTTTTTGATGGCTCTCTAAAGAAACATGGTGAGGTCTTGGAAATGAGTTGTGCAGGAATGTGGTTAATGGAAAGAAAGAAGGGCCAAGAGAAGACAGGCCACTGAGGACAGCGGCAGCATGTGCATGACGTGATTCTCTTTCAACCCCTCTCAGCTCTGATAACCCTTTCCCCAAGAAAGATCCCAACAAAATCCATCTGATACTAAAGTGATTGTGCTATCAAGTACACAAAGAACACATTTATTTACTCAATAAAGAAATCACGAGAACAGTGGGTTGCAATGGGCTCAGACTCATTCTCAGCTAATCATCAGGAGTCTTGTTGCCTGTGCCAGCGGTTCAGGAATCAGTGGCTACAGGCAGGTGAGTTACAACAAGCACAAGACCCCTCTCTAACCCCTCTGGTCAGCAGGGAAGGCCTGCAGTTGGACAGGAAGAAAGTTGTGCCATTCTCCCAGCTCTCCATCACCATTTCATCTTCTGCTTGCTGACCTCGATGTGGCTTGAGAGCTCTCCCTGCTTCGGCTGTGCAGTCCAGAAGCCAGAACTTCCTCTAGGAAACTGACAAGGAGATTTGAGGTTACTTAAATGAAAAACAAAAGCATCACCAAAAACAGAATATCAGTATCTTGTTCATGACATTGAACTACATAAAAATATGTCACGAATAGTATGCAAGAGGAGCTGATCTGCCATTTGAAGTATTAGCTGAGCACCAAAATATCCAGATTAGAAGCTTTGTGCTCATTCCCAGGGTCCTCACTGTGTTTTTTAGATTAAATTTATAAGATCGGTTAGAATTAACTGTTTTAAGTTTGAACTTTCTGGAAGGAAATTCTAGGAATCCAGAATTAAAAAAAATTAATCCAATATTTAATAGGGAAGAGGAGGGTAAAATTAAATAGCTTTGGCAAGGTCTTAGGTAATTAAACTTAAAAAGAAAGTTGATGAATCAGCTCAGAAAATAAGATGAACGAAGAGGTGGGTAGGTGAACAGTATCCCACACTAAAGGTTGTCTACTCAGGCTGCCATTTGTATCGTTTATAGCACTGCTACCTTGAGGCATTCACTTCATGATATAAGACTTCTGAAAATTTACAGCCACTGCAAATGATCTCTACACCTGTTGCCTCTATAAACTGTTTCAGTGGGATCAGTGTATTTGTAATAACCAAGTTAGTTTCCTAGTCCCCAGCCCTTTCAAACTGTTACCTTTCCTCTTGTATGTTAGTGATTTTTCATCGCAAAGTAAGCAGGTATGGGTGGGCATATTCCCAAGAACTCAGGAGCCACAAGGAGGTACAAATTGGGGACTATTTAAGCAAGGGAATGCAGAACTTTTAAGGGCAAGGCTCCTAGATTAATTTAGTATCATGTTATATCAGTACCTGATGTATATGCCCCTGAAACTGCCTCAGAATTTGTGCCTTAGTCTCTTCTTTATCAATCTACTCTCTAAAGTAACTTTTCTAAAATACAGTTTATATCCTATTGCATATGCTCCCGTTTTCTCCCTTAAAATTTTTCTTTTGCTTACAGAAAAATGTGCATGAAGTTCAAAGCACTTCATACTGTGACCTAATAACAAATACATTGTACTTACTATGTTCTGAGAATTGTTTTGTGCATATATATGCATGCAGCTCTATGAAATAGATGCTCCTACTATCCTCATTTAAGAAAATGAAGAAACAAAGCTATAGAGTGGTTAATTGATTTGCCAAGACCACAAGAACTAGTGGGTAGCTTAGTTAGGATTCAAACCCAGGCCCTAGAGTCTGTGCCCTGCAGCATCAGGCAACACTGCTCCTTCCATGTCCACGGTGCAGCCTATGTGCCATCCAGGCCCAGCCACTCACTATTCCCTAGAGATGCCACAAGCTTTCATAACCTTCATGTGTTTGGCTCTTACTATGTCTCATGTCTGAGATGTAAGGTTGCCATTTCTCTTTGCTGAAATCTTTTTTGTTCTTTAATGGTAAGGGTTAAAAGTTACTTTTCCACAAAGCTTCCCAGATCCCTCAGTGAACTAATCACTCCCATCACTATTACCACTTTCCTCCAGGACTACTTCAGCGCGGTATTATTAACTAGGTACTGTATATATTATTGTCAAGTTAGACTTTGACTCCTTAGGGTGGGAATAAACTTTACTCAGTTTGTTCCTCCAGGCCTTAGCAAAGGTGCCCAATAAACGTATGCTGAATATATGAATTAATTAAAATAGTTACTCACTGGCAAGACAAGTTTCTCTATAGCGTAGGGGTTATTTGGATGGTATTGTAAGTAATGCTCAGGACTCTCTCAGTGGGAGACAAATCTATAGCAGAAAGAGGGTTGGATAAATGACCAGATATGTCATTACTACCACTGCTCTATGGTACTAGAGGTGGAAGACTTGGAGCTTAGAAAATTTAAATTCCAAACTCCTTTGTTTAAAAAAAAAAGTGCAGTAGAGGGAAAGGAATAGAAACTAAGTTCACTTATCCTCTACTGAAATAAAGTTGCCTCTGTTTGACCTGGCCTTCTGGGCAGTTTGGACTAGAAACACTTGAGGTCATCAAACAAGAGTTAGGAAATGAGGTGGCATTGCTTTTCTGAAAGACAACGTAAGAAGACTTTGATTGGTGATTTCTAGTAAGAGTGAAGTAAATGTGCTGGGAAGCCTTATAGGAATTTATCAGGTGATCTTTGCTACATTTTCAACTCTGCTACAAAGAAAAAATAACTGCTAAAATTATACTTGAAGATCCTCCTCTGTATTTCAACAAGACCCCACATTCTTGACTGCAAACAGAAAACAACATTTGCCAAACCTAATTTTGTTTCCTGGGGCCATTGTGACTTTTTAAAAAAGTATCTATTTGGGGACTTTGATGAGTCATTGCACAGAATGCTTAAAAATTATGGGCAATGAACATATTGGTAGCTGTATCCTAAATTAGACTATGTTTAAAAACAAATTTAAAAAAGAATTTTTCTTTTCTAGGTTCATTTTAAATCTTACTTAAAAAGCAAACTCAAAAATTTTCCTCTCCCATGATACTAGAATCTAATTCAATTCAGCTAAATTCAATTTAACAAATGTTTACTGAGCATCCCTGAGAACCAGGCATTGAACTAGGTGTATGAGTGAATACCTGTGGTGGCTCCTATCTTAAGGAGCTCTCAGTCTGAGACAGACAAACAATGCTGTGATATAAACAGACCGTCCTGGGGGTAATGGTGGATTAACCTTACTGTTCCTCTTAGTGCTGTCCTCACGGGTGCCTTTCCCACTCTATGGTCAGGAAGGAAGTTAGGTAAAGAAAAACAACCCCCACCTCTGATTTTAAAAAGTCAACCTCAGAAAGTCTTAAGTCACACAATAAAAAATATGTCTTCACTTTTAAGATTCTGGTAAGGGAGAAGAGAATACTTACAACATTAAAATTTTCTTCTTTTTTTTGTTTTGGTGGGACTGGGGTTTGAATTTAGGGCTTTGTGCTTGAAAGGAGGCACTTTACCACTTGAGCCACTCCTCCTACAGCATGAAAAATTCCAATTCCTGAAGTAATTCAGCTAAATAACGGTTTCTAAAGAAAGCTATATACTATTAAACTATGCATGTATATGTATATGTATTTAGGATATGGCTTTCTCCCTTTTCACCGTAATCCATTACAGGTGAGAGGGCAAAGAAGCATGGAAGGCTGGTTTGTGGGAGCTAGTTAAAGTTAGACAGGGGTAAGAAGCTGATGTGCTACTGCAAGATAGGGCCACAGAGAGCAGTAATGTGTTACATAGTCTAAAAAGCTAGAAGAAACGATTTTGAAGCTTTTCACCATAAAGAAATTAGAAATATTAGAGGAGACAGGTATGTTTAACCTGATTTAAACATCACACAATGTCATAAATATAGTTTTTAAGTCTTTATGTATAATTTAAGAAATAAATGTAAATTTAAAATGTACATGTGAATTTCCCATACCAAAGAAACCAAGGGAATCTAAAATCTGAACAGTAGTAAAATGAAAAAACAAACAAACAAAAGGAACTTGTTGGGAGCAGGGAAATAGAAAAAGATTTGCAGGAAAATAATGAGAAAAACCCGAGATACTTCCTTCAGTGCAGCAATGAGTTCCAAATTACAGCCAAACACTTGGCTAGAAATGTTGAAGCATGGCAGTGGGTGAGGGTGAAAGCAAGGACAGCATTTTTAGAAGTTTAAGACACTCCCCGTGCCTCCTCTCAATTCCCACTGCTTATGGTTTTCAGAGCCACTACTATGTTCACACCCCTGCTTCTCTACATACTGTTCCTTCTGCCTTGAAGGCCGCCCCATCCCTCCCACTGTTGTCTGGAGGAAGTATACATCTTTAAACCTACTTTGCATTATTGCTCTTCTAGGAAGATGTCCTGTTCTGCATTGCTTTCTCCTTATAGCTGCCTACTGGCTTCTCCATACCTTATACTGTGTTGTAATTTACTTGTTTACATGTCTGTTTCCCATGTAAATTTATCAAGTTTTTGAAGGCCTAAGGGATACATGAATGCACTCTCTTTTTAGAAGTTTTAAATAGCACACATAAACCTCAAGTCTTCCTTGACTCTTCTCCCCATTACTCTTTCCAGAGATAACAGTTTGATCAACAAATTTTGAGTGCCTACTATGGGCTAGGCACTGTGCTAGAAGCTGTGAATATAGCAATAAAGAAATTAACAAATGAACAAACTCTGCCTCATGGAATTTATATTTTAGTGAAGTAATAAGATAAAATTAGTTGGTAAAACAGAGTGCTAACACAACATTAATGAGGTAGAAACTCCCACTTTACAGACAAAGAAATTGAGGCACAGGATAGTGAAAGTCTTTGTATCTTTTCTGAGCTGGGATACAATGCCAGACAATGTGGTTCCAGAGTTTGCTTTCTTAACTGTGATGTTACACTGTCTCTCTATAGTATGTTAAAGAAAATGCTATGCAGAAAACTAAAGTAGGTTTAAAGGAGGAGAATTGGCGATCTTGACATGAGGTTTTTAAATCCAGTACTCAAGGAAGGCATCATTGAGAAATGACATTTGAGCAAAGGCCTGGGTGAGGTATCAGACTATTTATGTGGGGGAAGAACAAGTACAAAGGGACCAAGGCCTGCTGTATTCATGGAACAGAAAGGAGGCAGCTGTGGCTGAAGTGAATAAGGTATTTGGTAAAAGCTAAGATCAGAGACATTAAGACAGGAGATGGAGGGAAGTATGAAGATGAGATTGTATAAGGTCTGATGGTCACTGTAAGGACTTTGATTTTTTACTTAGGGTAAGATGAGGGCTATCAGAGGGTTTTGTGCAGAGTATGACATACCCCGAATATTACACACTTTCTTTTCTTTTTCCTTTTTTTTTTTTTTTTTACTTTGGTAGTATTGGGGTTTGAACTCAGGGCCTTGCACTTGCTAGGCAAGTGCTATTACTACTTGAGCCACAACCCCACTTTTTTTGGGCTATAGCTTATTTTTCAGATAAGCTTATTTTTCTCCTGCCTTTGCTTGGGGCTGGAGGATTAAGGTTCAGGCCTACCCAG